GCAGACAAAATAACTGATATTAAGCACTTTTAAATCTTAATTCTTTCTATTCTGACCGTAATAATTCACACTCTTATCAAAACATTTAAAAATAACAAATTAGTATTTCTACAACATATAAATGCTCATATCTAAATATCCCATGACTTTTTAAGTACAGTTTAGTTTAAAAGTCATATAAATAGCAAATATCTAGGCTATATTTGGTATTTTTTTGGTTTAAAGACTTGAAATGACTTGAAGCTCAATGCAGACGACTTGGACTTGACTCGGACTTATGGGCCAGTGACTCGAGACTCGACTTGGACTTGCCTGTATTTGACTTGGGACTTGACTCAGACTTGAGGCCACAGACTCGAGACTGACTTCAGACTCACAAAACAACGACTCAGTCCCACCTCTGCTATAAAACAAAATAAATAAAATGCTTAAAAATACATGAAATAAGACATAGAAAAACATAAACATATCCAAAATAAACTATATATCCAGCTATTCTACAATCTCTATATTTAAATCTCAGAATAAACTTTGTTCTCCAAACACATATAATCGAGCTGAAACGATTAGAGTTTAACAAACAAATTGAAATCGCGATCAAGATTCAATTCAAAAATCCAACACAGCCTTATAATATGGGCCTTTTAAATATGGTAGTAATTGAGTGCGTATACATGCACATCAATAACCCGGTTATGATCGGGTTTTTTGAGTATCCCGGTTTCTTGATGGTGCATGTATACGCAGTAACCCGGTTTCAGTAACCCGGTTATGGCAGTATCCCGGTTATTAGAAACCGGGTTACTGTAGCTGGTTTATTCCGATAGTAACCGGGTTACTTGTGGCATGTAAACGCAGTACCCCGGTTACTGCAACATAAAGTTGAGTGCGCATGCGTCCAAAAGACACTTTCCAGCCTCTCAACACAACAGTAGTGACATAAATAAATTGACCAATATAAATAAAGTGACCAAACGAGTGAAATGACTGTAAAATTAAGAGCTGCGCTAAACCTGCACACGTACAATCTGCACTCGTACGACCTGCACTCGTGTGACGCTGAAAAGCTAAAACATGAACTATCTCCTATACTCTATACGCACGAAACACACTTACCATCATTAGCGCCTCTTCTGTCACAGAAATAACACACATAATCCACAGAGTCGTGTCATTTAGTCCAAAAGAAACTGATCACATCAGCGGCACAAGGAGCGAGTTGTTTTTATCGCCGCTAACAGTTTATGCTAATTAGCCAAACGGTCTTAAGTTTCGTTTCTGTAAAACGTAAACAAATGTGATCACAGCTGAATTATCTGATCAAACGGGCTGATGTGTCTATAGTGTTTATGGTTTATATGTTGTAAAGTTGAGTTTATTTATGCAGAAGATTTTAATGAAGAATCTGCACAGTGGATTGTGGGAGATCTCGTAGCTCCTTAGCTTCTTATGCTAAAGGAGCTCACGGTTTGTATTTTTCCTGGTTTATGAAATTGATTTAAGTTAATTTTTGCGCCTGCGCATTTGTAAGATTATGTCAAGAAACCGGGATACTCCATTTGATCATGTATACGTGGATATGAGTATCCCGGTTTCTCAGTGCGCATGTAAACGCAGTAACACGAATACTGACATAACCGGGGTATGGCTAATAACCGGGTTACTGATGTGCATGTATACGCACTCACTGATTACACCATTATAAACTCAACTCATTCTAAAAAACTGTCACGTTTAAATGTTAATTCAAGAGCATTTCTTCAGCAGTCAACAGATACAGTAGCTCTTGTCCCCTCCATCAATCTGTGTTCTGTTCTGTCTTGCCTGTCCATGTGTATGTAATGAATGCGAGCTCGTATGGCTGAGTATGGAATGAGAATAAGGATTTTGCGACACAACCAGAATAACAATGTGTCTATAATACAGTATGGTTCATTTAGAGAGGATGACACGGTGACATGTTTGTTTACAGCGTGTTTCACCAGTAACAAAAGCCGAGAGATTTGTTTATGCAGCAAATAGTGTTTTAATGGCATTCTGCATAAGGCTGTGTAAGTAGTAGTAGTAATATTTCAGTCCCTCAGATGTGATTGTGGTCTAGAACATGTAAATTTCATAAAATGTAAACAGGTTTATCATTTGTGGACTGTTTGGATGTTTTAGTCCTATGGAAAAATGGGCCACAATACACAGTTCACTGCATCTGTGCTCATGTGGAAATATCAAACTGTACATTTCACACGCACACGGTCACTTTTCCTAGCCTGATTCATCAGCTCTGACCTCGCAGCATTAGGATTCGTTCGGTTGACGGTAGGCGGGTTCTTTTTTTATTTAACCAATCACTGCTGTTTGGTTGTGACGTATGTAATGCTCCAAATCCAGTAGGAAGAAGGTCAATAACGTCTTTCCCCTTGATAAAATTCACCAAACATTCTCTTTGTCCCGGCTTTAAATCCTCGATCTCTGAAATCGTTGACAACATAGAATATATGGCTCTTCGCTGATTGACTGGTGCCCGAACTCGCACTTCCGGGTTTCTTGCAAGCGTATTCCGATTCCTGACCTAGTGGCTGAAGAGAAATGAAATCGAGAGGAAGCATTAGGTGGCACCAGCCTGGCTACACTTTTCCAGCAGAGTCAGCAAAGTGTAAGTGACTTTGATGTCGTGCCACAAGATATCGTGAGACAAAATTGCCACAAGATCATGCACATGTGAGAAAAATTATCTTATGGGATAGTTTCCTCCTGAATTTAACTTTACCTTAGACTTAAAAAGAGTTCAAAGCTGGAGAGTTATACAATTTGAGAAGCTGTAGTTCAGTACTACAATGACCGCTAAAGTATTACATAAATAAAATAAAAAAATTAGGGAAGCCAAAATTGTGAAATGGATTATACTATTTACCGTATTTATTACAAATTATGTCAAAATCTCGTCTTGTTTTCCCGTGGACTGAACATTATGGTGTGTCTCATCTTGTTAAATTTGTATCTCGTCCCACCCCTGATGTTTAAACAGGAGCATTAACACTGAGAAAACTGGAATATTAAAGGGGTACTGTGTAAGTTTTCTGGTGTAGGGTCTGCTTTACGATCAGGCGGTAGACACTTCATCAGAAATATTAAATAGTGCGCCTTTAAATGAAATGTGTATAAACTGCTAGCCAGGCTGGTGCCATCTACTGCCTCTGCTCAATTTCATTTCTCCAGCGACTAGGTCAGAAATCTGAATACACTTGATGGTTTGCAAGAACCCAGAAAGTTGTAGACCTCGCACCAGCCAATCAGCGAAGAGCTGTGAAGCCATGACGTCAAACTCAAGCGCCTGTCTGGGTCCTTTTTATGGTACAACAGTAAACAAAACGGTCAAGATGGATGTAGACGAAGACAGACATTCTGTGTTGGCAACGATTCCCGAGATCGAGGATTTAACAAAGAGAATGTTTGGCGAATTTTATCAAGGGGAAAAACGTTATTGCCCTTCTTCCTACGGGATTTGGCGCATTACATACGTCATGACCAAATAGCAGCGACTGGTTAAATAAAAAAAGTACCTGCCTACCGTCGAGCGAATGAATCCTAATGCTGCGAGGTCAGACGGTTTCCACGAAGTGAAACCGTCTGATGAATCAGGATAATAAACTGCAGTCAGTTATACAAATACATAATTCCAGGTAACACTTTTTTGCACTGCAACAAAAAGTCCTTTGAGCAGTTCTTCTATAAGTGGGCTTGCCTCTCCATATATGTTACTTGTAACTTGGCCTGGTCCCTGTTTGTCTCCATGGAGATTGACAAGTTCAATGCCATACTGTGGAACACTCTTGACTCGGGATGGGCATGATTAGTCGATTATTCGATAATTGGTCATTAAGAATTTCATCAATTACGTTCATTTTAATCGACAAACCAAATGTAGGTTGCTGTGTGTAGTGTGACCAAACAGGGGTCCGTACATGTGTCTCTCTGCACTCAGAAGGAGCGAGCAAACACAAACAGTCGGTCAGTCTGCAACGTACCGAAGCACAAATGTGTATTTAACGATACTTGTACAAGAAATTCCACGCTTTCCGTTGCGTTCGGGACAAGTGTGAGGCCATGTGCACAGTGTATAAAGCAGCACATATGTTTCTGTGTCCAGTGGGAAAAAGTTTTACCAGGTGAGAGTCGCTCAATGTCGATGACGAGTCCCCACCTCCCTCCCCCCGTACGGTGTCCTGGTTTTGACAAACGCAAATATGGTCACACTAACCTGTATTCCACTGAGTCATGTCTTTTAATCCAACAGAAATTGACCTGCATCAGCGACACAAGAGCTGTAGTTTTATCTTCGCTTAGTTTATGCAAATTAGCGATGCGGTTTTAAGTTTCGTTTCTGTGAGAGTTGCGCAAAACTGAATTAAACACATTATAATGTCAAACGGGCTGATGTGGCTCTAGAGTCGTTACGGTTTATATGTCGTAAAGTTTAATTTATTTATGCAGATTAGTAGTGCAGATAGTAATAATAATAATGATGATCATTTTAATATAAAAACGTTAATGATTAATCGATAATCGATCGTTAATTCTTCCGACGATTGATTAAGAAAATTTCATCGAATGCCCATCCCTACTCTTGACACATCCGAGCAAGTGGCGGACCCTCCACATGTCAATAATATTTATAATACAGGTGTTGGTCTCATCTTACAATAATGTTGTTAAAATGCTGTGAGTTTTAGAATTTAGACACTGATAGGTCATACGTACAAACAACATTTGTGAATTTATCTTTTTGAAAAACCAACAACAAACTGCTGGAAATTGCGCAAATTCATATTCTAATTGTATTTCTAATAATATCGTAGTATTGACATTCTGAGGCACATTTCCTTCCCTGCTGTAGTGTTTAACAAACCCTCCATTGTACAACATAAACACAATCTAACACCTGATCTCACACATGAATGATGCAGATCTAACCTGTCTGTCTGTGTCTGTGTGTTCCTCCTCAGGTATAGCAGCAGCCACCATGTTTATGCCGGAGAAGATGCAGTCCCAGCTGAGTGACACCCAGCTGCGGGTGGCCTTCGACGGGGACGCCGTGCTCTTCTCTGACGAGTCCGAGATCATCGTCAAACAGCAGGGCCTGGACGAGTTCTTCGAGCACGAGAAGACCTTTGAGAACCTTCCTCTGGCACAGGTGAAGAAACTGATCATGTCTCTTACTCTCCTTAAACAAGAAGACAGTAATATCAGATAAAACTAGAATGTTATGTTATATGTTATGTTGTGTTATATTATGTCATGTCACTCAGCTGTACTTATTCTTGGGGTTCAGCTTACTGTTATTGGTGTCATTTGGAGGAATTTTGTCCATTCAAAAGACAGGCTAACATTTAGTTTTGAATTTTTATTTACTATGGCACTTGTGCTAGATTTTGATCACCCTAAAACCCATGGACAGGTGCCACATGTGGTGTAAAAAACAACATATCTATTACCAATAAGATAAGATAAAGCTATATTGCCTCGTAAGTAGTCATGGGACGAGATAAAATTGCCATAAGATTGTGCTCACATTTTGAAAATGATCTTGTGAGAGTTTTTCCCATGTGCAAAAGGTACTGGCAAGATGCATTTTTTGAGAAGCTATAGTCACAAAAAGCACATGCTCCAGCAAAAATATTAAATGAAGTGAAATCAAAAACGGTGAGAATAAAATTGGGAATTGGTTTGTATAATTTATTTATAGTAAATCGTGTCAAAATCTCGAGTTGTCTCGTTCTCGTAGATCCAGTCTTGTGTCTTGTCTTGTGGAAATTGTATCTTGTCCCACCTCCAGACTGATATCTCTGTGTATTTTTATAAAGAGGGATATCAGTCTGGTCACCACGCCCTCCGTCGCACCTTGAACCAGGCTCAAACACGACCGTCCAAGCAGATTTGTTGATTCAGTGACACATCTGAAACGAATGAGCTCATCGGTTACTCATTATTTTTTACAAAATCAAATTTCTCTCACCACGGATTAACAGAGTTTGGTGCTTCGCTCATTGATTTTTTTTCCTTTCTTTCTTCCTCATAAGCAGCCGTGTTTGTTTTGATACAGATGAACCATGCGTGTCCCTGATTGGTTAAACCACCTGTCAATCATCTCCATCTGAACTCGCTGAGGTTATAGAGTTTGTTTAGGCAACAAAGTGTTTTACAGTGATGATTAAAAAAAACATTTAATTTAAAACGAAATGTTATCTTCAGTAGCCTGTAGTTTCTTTTTATCCTGCGGTCTTACATTACCTCTGGCACAGATCAAGATCAATTTAAAACTAAAAAGTGCAGACACAGTGTGTCCATGCTGTAATCTTACTCACACCCCAATGTCTTATCGAATCTATTCTGGCCTTGGTTTATGTAAAGCTTTTAAGCCCAGTAATACTTTAATATGAGCTCTCAACGTGTTTAAAGTATAACTGAGCTGCGTTTTGTCCTGATCAAATATTTAAGAATCGGCTGCATTCTAAAGTGAATGTGCTGAACAAAACAGAAATACATCACTACACTCACAGTGTGAATAATGAATAGAAATGCTCACATATCTACAACCTTGTGTACAACTCAACTTTGATTTTACTTGGTTAAAAAGTCACAGTCAAATTTGTGTTTTTCTTTTACAAGAAGTTGCAAAAACATACGAAACAAACAACAAGCACAAATACAAAATTCAAATAGATTCTTGCTGGGTCATTTTGCAGAACCAGTTGTGCAAGAGTTTTCCCTCCTTGAATCAGATCCTAATGAAATAAATTTAACGTCCTCAATTTCACATTTGACAAACTGCACAGTATTTCACAATATGTCCTGTATTAGACCTGATCTGAAAGTAGGCAAGGCAAGTTTATTTGTACAGCACAATTCGAAAAGTTATTCAAAGTGCTTTACAGAATAAGAAATACATTAAAATCATAATAAAAACAAATCAAAACATAATCATGAAGATTAAAATTAAAAAAGAGAGACATAAATTGGAGAGAAGAGTGTTAGTTATATGCACAGTTAAACAGAAATGTTTTGAGTCTGGATTTAAACAGCGTCACAGAAGAGTCTGTCTCACATGTTCAGACTGTTCCAGGTTTTAGCTGCATGAACCTGAAACTCTGACTCCCCTTGTTTAGTCGTGACTCTGGGCACCAGCAGGAGGCCGGTCCCTGAGCTCCTCAGAGTGTGAGATGGTTCATATGACACTAACATGTCACAGATGGACTTTGGTGCTCGGCCATGGAGAGACTTGTACAAGCAGAGCTGCTTTAAAGTTTATTCTCTGAGGCACAGGAGCCAGTGCAGAGACCTGAGCACAGGACTTATGTGCTCGTACTTCCTAGTTTGAGTCAGGACCCGAGCTGCAGCGTTCTGGATGTTCTGGATGTTCTGGATGTTCTGGATGTTCTGGATGTTCTGCAGCGTCTCACAGCTCGTTTGGAGAGACCAGTGAGCAGAACATTACAGTATCTAACCTACTGGAGACAAACGCATGGATAAGTTTCTCCAAGTCTGCTTTAGACAGTAAACCTTTGATTTTTGCTATGTTTTTTAGATGGTAAAAGGCTGCAGATGTTATTGATTTGATGTGGCTGTTAAAGTTCAAGTCTGAGTCCATTATTACCCCTAGATTTCTTGCCTGATTTGAAGGTTTTAGAGAGAGAGACTGGAGGTGACTGCTGACACTGTCCCTTTGAAGTAAACTTCCTTCAATTATTTGACTTCAAATTATAAATTAGACCTTATGTTTTGGTAGTTACTCTTTCCGTTTCTTTTACTTGAGTTATAGTTTCACCAAATACTTTGTTACTCTTATTTGAGTAATTTCTTGGTCCACTACTCTGTACTTTGTGTACTTGAGGAATATTATTTCAAAGTAACATAATTCTTAATTGAGTAAAATCTTTAGTTACTACTTTAGTTCCACCTCTGCTCTGCTGTCAGTCTTTGTTATATTTCAGATTTTTGTTCTATTTGCAGCTCACTTTAACCCTCTCTCCTCTGTATCTCTCGTCTTAGGGTCCTCTAAAATGCTTCCTGGAGGCACTGGGAAAGCTCCAACGAAAATTCTACGCCAAGAACGAGCGACTGGAGTGCCCCATCCGCACCTTCCTCGTCACAGCCCGCAGCGCAGCCAGCTCGGGGGCCCGCGTCCTCAAGACCCTGCGCTCCTGGGGCCTGGAGATAGATGAAGCTCTGTTCTTGGCCGGAGCGCCCAAGGGACCGCTCCTGCAGAAGATCAGACCCCACATCTTCTTCGACGACCAGATGTTCCACATAGAGGGCGCGCAAGAGATGGGCACCATCTCGGCTCACGTGCCCTACGGCATCGGACAGAAGTACCACCGGGGGAAGCTGATCGAGAAGCCAGCAGAGAAGAAGTAGAGATACAGGAGCGTTTACAATATAACAGGAAAGGCAAAGGGCTTTAGAGGGTTTACAGGGACGTACAGACATATGAGAGTTAGGAAACGGTGGGTGATCAAAAAGGTCAAAAACTAAAAACTGTTTTAGAAAGGCTGTTCAGTAGTTTGTAAAATAAATAAATAAATAAAAAAAAACATTCCCAAATGGAGGCAACTGGATGCATAAAAGTAATAAGTTTGTTTGCTCTTTGAGGACACCCTGCTCCACGGGCTCGGGGTTCTCTAAGGGGTGATCCTAGATTCCAAGTCCTAGTCCAAGATTAGTCCTGGTTTTGTTCTGGTTTAGACCTGGTTTAGACCTGGTTTAGTCTGGGTTCAGTTCTTGATTCAGTCCTGGTTTAGACCTAGTTTAGTCCTGATTTAGACCTGGTTTAGACCTGGTTTAGTCCTGGTTTAGTCCTGGTTTAGACCTAGTTTAGTCCTGGTTTAGACCTGGTTTACTCTGGGTTCAGTCCTTGATTCAGTCCTGGTTTAGACCTGGTTTAGACCTAGTTTAGACCTGGTTTAGACCTGGTTTAGTCCTGGTTTAGTCCTAGTTTAGTCCTGGTTTAGACCTAGTTTAGACCTGGTTTAGACCTGGTTTAGACCTGGTTTAGACCTGGTTTAGTCCTGGTTTAGACCTGGTTTAGACCTGGTTTAGACCTGGTTTACTCTGGGTTCAGTCCTTGATTCAGTCCTTGATTCAGTCCTGGTTTAGACCTAGTTTAGACCTGGTTTAGACCTGGTTTAGACCTGGTTTAGTCCTGGTTTAGTCCTGGTTTAGTCCTAGTTTAGTCCTGGTTTAGACCTAGTTTAGACCTGGTTTAGACCTGGTTTAGACCTGGTTTAGTCCTGGTTTAGACCTAGTTTAGTCCTGGTTTAGACCTGGTTTAGACCTGGTTTACTCTGGGTTCAGTCCTTGATTCAGTCCTTGATTCAGTCCTGGTTTAGACCTAGTTTAGACCTGGTTTAGACCTGGTTTAGTCCTGGTTTAGTCCTGGTTTAGTCCTAGTTTAGTCCTGGTTTAGACCTAGTTTAGACCTAGTTTAGACCTGGTTTAGACCTGGTTCAGACCTGGTTTAGTCCTGGTTTAGACCTGGTTTACTCTGGGTTCAGTCCTTGATTCAGTCCTTGATTCAGTCCTGGTTCAGTCCATATAAAAGTTCGGCATCTTCACTCAGTTATTTTGTTGAGAGTAACTTAAAGTTCTGCAATAGTCGTGTAATGTTTTACATTTTAAACACTGTAATATTGTAATGTAACGAATGACTTTGAAATGACAGTAACAAGTCATAAATAACACATTACAAATTTGAAGTAACTTACAACAGTGGTCATAACGTGTTAAACATTACGATACTTCTGGCAAATGTGCACTGCTAAACTAGTATTTTACCTTGTGTTTTTTAATGTTAGGAGACTATTAGACACACTCATCATCATTACAACATATTAAATGTTTTGTGACGCTCAAATACTATTTAGGCTTCAATACCTAATTGAAAATATGGGATCTCACTTTTGCCTCCAGTTGCCACCATTTCATCGTTTTGAACATTCTGATGACATAGTATTTTAAGGAATCTGTAAATACACAGAAAAACAATAGTGCATTTCCATTGTGAGATATTGTGCTTTGGTAAAAAATAAGTTCTAACTAAACCGTTTGTATTTGTTCGACTTAAAGCTGGGGTCTGATTTCACGTAAAGCATGTCAAAGCAGCACTTTGTAACACATGAGGCCACCTCTGTTTGCTGTGCGTGTCTCTCACTGTAAAGAGTTTTTAATAGAGATGTAACAATAACCGAAATATCGTGATATCGTATCGTCAAAGTTCTCACAATAATATCATGAACCATCACAATATATCAAATTACAAGTCTCTTTGCTTAAATTAAGAGTTATGATGCAGCAATAGCTAAAAAAAGACAGAGGGAACTACATAGACCATGATCCTTTGCTCCATTTCAGTGCAGATTACAAGAAGAAATAACAGTTCTAACACTTTTAAGTCTTAGTGCTTTGGATTAAGTCTTGTCAAGGCATTTTAAGAGGAAAAAAGTAGCATATTAACAGTTTTCGTGAGCTTCCCTACTATATCGCAATAAATATCGTATCGTGAGGTTCATATCATGATAATATCGTATCGTGAGACTTGGATATCGTTACACCCCTGGTTTTTAAAATCACGTTAGACAGGCTCTGATAACCGCTATGTTCCCTTTAGAGACGAGTGCGTTGGGGCTTCACCGTGTTTCACTTCTTGCCTTAAAAAGCTGTTCTGAAGCTTGTCCAACTGCCAGATAAAGTCATGCACGTATTTGAAAATCAATCACCCCAGTTTTAAGTAATTTTTACAAGACATGTGCCTTTATTTTACCTCACTACATGTTTAAAAAAATGTCTGTAATTTACAAATTTTACGTACAAATGTTGTATAAAATTGAGTTCAAACTGTAGAGACACTATGGGGAAACTGCACATACATGAAACACAGATACAGATACTTTTGCGTTTTGTTTTGTAACAGAACTGCAATTTCACTCCAAAGTTGTGCTGTTTGTGTCTGTAGTGTATTTAAAGGGCCCATCTCATGCAAAATAACTCTTTTCACATTGTATCTTCAAGCACAATTTGGGTTTTGGAACATCCATTACACAATAGTTATGAAATCTTACTGATTTCTTGGAGGCGTCACAGACCAGGAACTGTGAAAGACCGACTATTGCTCCTCCCCCCGCCCGTCCTGAGAAAGCACAGGCTCCGCCCTCCAAACGTGACGTAGGCTCTGAGTGAGCCGCCCTTCCTCCGCCATCTCAGGGAGGGAGGGGGAGACAGACGTGACCCTGATAGTGGTAGAAATAAACTTTTATTCATCATGGAGATACAGCGCGTTCAGCCGCATGTGTTGGACCTGGAATCAGACGAGGACTTTGAGGAGCATCAGCTGAACATTACTGATTGGTAGAGTACTGATAAACGCTAGTAGATAAAATGATTATATTGTGTAGCCTGCAGTGTAGAACAATGAGCTTATGCTGTCACTTTTGTTGAGGTGTTCATGTGGGAATTTTCAGCCGACGCAGATGGAAGCAGGGGACGGGGACGGGTGCGAAATGCTGATTTCTGCTACCAGTGTTGGGAGGGTGACTTTTAAAATGTATTCCCCTACAAATTACAGATTACACACCCCAAAATGTAGTTTGTAACGTAATCCATTAAATTACTTAAAGTGAGTAATGTAATCTGAATACTTTAGATTACTTGATTTACTGTAGAGAAGCAAAGACGAGGAAATCGTAACATAAGAAGTTTTGTCTGATAAAAAAAAATAAAAAGTCCAGACTTTACTGAACCAAATTAAAAATATTACTGATAGAAGAAGAGTAGGAGACACGGTCCAAGCAGCATGATTTAGTCCTGTTAAATCCTGGTTTATTCCTGGTGTATTCCTGGTTTAGACCTAGTTTATACCTGGTTTGGACTTGGTTTAGACCTGGTTTTAGTCCTGGTTTATTCCTGGTTTAGTCCTGGTTTAGACCTAGTTTAGACCTGGTTTTAGTCCTGGTTTAAACCTGGATTGGACCTGGGTTTAGTCCTGGTTTAGACCTGGTTTAGTGTCAGGCAATGAGTGGAATTACCAAACACAACAGAACAAAAAAATGGAATAGCCAAAATGTGAAAACAGGAAAATACCGCCGTGTAATCCATTTATTTCAACAAAGTAACTGTAATCCAATTACCACTCACTGAAACAGTAACTGTAACTGAATACAGTTACTCATAATTTGTACTCTGATTACATAACTCCGGTACATGTAATCTGTTACTCCCCAACACTGTCTGCTACGTCAAACGCGTCGTCGTTGTAGCAGCTTTAGTTCGTTGTCATGTGGGAGGGTGGCAGAAATACGCTGCAATTTGTTAAAAAAAATGCAGAATTAATCTAAAAACCACTTGGGTGACAAATACAAGGCCCACACATCTTGGAAGATAGAAAACTCTGAAAAGTCAATTTTGCATGACATTGGCCCTTTAAATCTAGGACTAGTGTTACTAAAGTTAGGATGATACAATATAAATATACAAATGTAGTGTCTCTTTTGCTTCTCAGGATTTATCTGCGTGTTGCAACCTGCTCACACTGACTTGGCAAAACTGTTCCTGCATATTCAGTTTTTTCAGTGCATTTGTGTTAAAGCAACAAACTTGTAACTTGTTTTCTTTCAGACACTTGTAACATTATTGTGATAAAATATTTAATGTTTTTATGGCAACACATTTTACATACAACCTTTTTTTTACTGTTGAAAGTTTATTTTTTAACTTAAAATGTAAAAAAAAATGCACAAAACCTTTAAGATTTTCTGCTGCAATAACAAACCGAGGAAGAACATATGAATTTATAAGTATATTTTGGTCTAATACTTTTCATTTCTATGGGTTTTATTAGTTTGGACAAAATTTGGTTCTATAAATCTTCACATTTTCACAGATTTTCAGTTCAAAAGGGAAGGATTTTGTATTTCAGAAGTTGATGAGTCGATGTTTTTCCATGCGGCCTCTTCCAGAATCTCCACCATTTGATGTAGTTCATAAATAATACAGGCAGCCTATTTTCCTGTGCGCGCTGTTGGTGGGCGGGGTTATGTGGTTTGGATCACTGCTGTTTTGCTGTTTGACGCACACTTTTTCTTGTTTCTCGTGGGTTTTTCAAGTTTACATTTTGGACACCAGCGAACTGTGTGTATCGTATTCATGTTCGTGCTTGATAGGACAATGTGTTTCCTAATAAAACGTGTGCAATGACATAATTCTGTTAAGACTCTGTTTTCATTTGACTTTCATTTCAGTGTGTGGTACCACTTTAAAGGCGAATAACTACAGCTTAGTCTCAGTGAAGATCTGCTCTTACAAAACCGAGGCCATGGTTCTCGACTGGAAAAAGGTGTCTTGCCGTCTGCAGGAGGTTGGAGAGTCTCTGCTTCAAGTGGAGGAGTTCAAGTATCTCGGGGTCTTGTTCTCGAGTGAGGGGAGGACGGAACGTGAGATTGCAGTGTCTGTCGTGATGCGGTCGCTGTATCGGACCGTTGTGGTGAAGAGGGAGCTGAGTCGAAAGGCAAAGCTCCTGATTTACCGCTCAATCTACGTTCCTCCCCTCACCTGTGGTCATGAGCTCTGGGTAATGACCGAAAGGACGAGATCGCGGATACAAGCGGTCGAAATGAGTTTCCTTTGCAGGGTTTCTGGGCGCTCCCTTAGAGATAGGGTGAGGAGCTCAGTCACACGGGAGGAGCTCGGAGTAGAGCCGCTGCTCCTCCACGTCGAGAGGAGTCAGTTGAGGTGGCTCGGGCAACTGTTCCGGGTGCCTCCTCGACAGCTCCCAGGAGAGGTTTTCTGGGCATGTCTCACCAGAAGGAGACCCAGGACACACTGGAGGGACTATGTCTCTGGGCTGGCCTGGGAACACCTCAGGATCACCCTGGAGGAGCTGGAGGAAGTGTGTGTGGAGAGGGAAGTCTGGGAGTCCCTGCTCAGGCTTCCCCGGATAAGCGGAAAAAAATGGATGAAAAATGGATGGAAAACTAACCTTACATCGCATGAATCGTCAAATGTTAAGGGACTATTTTCTCATATATCAGTCCGCCTCTGCCAAGCTTTCTATCAGAAGAACTAGCTGCTGCTGTTCAGACATAAATCCTTCAAATGCAAGGTTGGTTTTACTTCTAAATTATTCTATCGACACAGGCATTCACATGGACAGTCTGGTGTAATAACAGATTTGCTTCGGGTGTTTTGTGGAGTGGGTAAGACTGTTTTTAGTGGCAGGATAACTATGGCCATTAACATGCACTAGTCTAGCACCAGTGACCTCTGCAAATACAAGGACTGGATGGAAAATTTTAAAAAGTGTCTCCACACTTCTCCAACACTGTGGCTCACTAGGAAATGAGATCCTATGTCCAAAATTCTGAACTGTCCCTTTAAAAATGTAGAAAAGCATTAATCCTGACTATAAGCGCGCTTGCATCTCCACAAACTTATAATGTTGTTCCTTTAACTATAATCTTCCAGAGTATGACTAAAACATTTCTATCTCTATGGAGAATGTTCTGAAGTGTGGCTTTAACTTTATATTTCCATGGGATCGTGCAGGTGATGGATCTCCGTGAACAGGGTGACCAGCTTTTTATAATTCTAAACTGGGACATACCCGGGTTTGGATGGTTGGTATAAATAAAACTGTGAAAAGAGCATGTAAAATTAGACCTAGACTTTAATGATCCACAAGGGAAATTACTAAAATAGTCAATTCTCGACTCACTTGTGGGTCAGTATAAAATTTGAGAGACTTGGTGCATTTTTTTTTTTTGACACAGTTTTCTGTATTTTAGCTGAAAAGAATGACAATATTTTTGTCTTTACAGAGGCTGGGTTTCAAATTGGTCAAAAATAAGAACATCTGGGGCATTTCTTGTATAAAACTGGGACAAATGAATGTTTTGTTTTGGATAAATCTGCTGGGACGGGGGATGCAGGAAACAAAACTGGGACTTTTCCAGGTAAATCGGGACATCTGGTTATATCCATGAAGTTACGTAGTTATATTTATATGTAGAGAGAGTACTGTACTTTTAGGCAAAGCAAGTTTATTTGTATAGCAGAATTCATACACAAAGTACTTCAAAGCACTTTACATAATAAGAAAGACATTAAAATCACAATACAGACAAATCAAAACATAAATAATCATCAACAAATTAAAAACAGAGAGAGATTCAATTAGAGAGAATAATTTAATAAGCTATTTGTTCATTAAGAATTAAGTCTTTGTTCTTTTCATATTAAGGCGAATTAAAATGTAGCCTATAAAATAAATGTAATGAAATGCAGAATCGGCTTTGTTATTCCAGGTTAATTCACAGGTCGAGAATTGATCCTACTTTTTACTTAATTAGCAAATAATTATGCAGACAATTCTCACCTTGTAGGCTAAAGAATATCACAGTTAACATTCTGAAAAAATAAATAATAAACGTCATATTGCAGTTTAATCATTTCAATTACATGCAAGAAAATATCACAAAAATAATTACCAACAGTGTAAGTTACAAAGACAGCCTGAAGAGGGCGCCCTAATCAAGCAGAAACCACTACTGTAGCCGTGTCAGTTCTACACATTCATAAAAATGTTTGTAGCAAAAATGTTTCATAAAATTTATGTTGATGTTTACATGGTTCCCAATCTTTTTCACTAACAAAATTTCAAAAATTTTCCATGACTTTTTCATGACCTAAAGTGAATCTCCCATGACTTCATAGCACCTACATGTGTAGAATTTAACTGACTTTTAGGGTTAAATATGAAATGTTAACTCTTTCGCCTCACCTTATGGTTTGGTATTCTAGTTTTTAACATTCAAAATACTGTCAGTCAGAGTCTACGGTGCACGAGTCCATCACAGTACAGTTCAACGCCGCACCTGCCCGTAAACCCACGATTATATCAAAGTTAAACCCGCACCCGCCCGGACCTGTTAACATTTCACCTGTTACCTGCCTGTGCCCATGATAAACCACGCACAAATTAAAATCATTAAAACTAAAGCATCTATCAGAATACGAATCGAAAAGTTGTGACTTCAAGAATTATAATCATGAAATAGTTACACTTTCTTCAATATAAACACAAATCACAGACGGGACTCGACTGTCATCACTTCACAGGCTTTATTTACTGAACAGAAGAAACACTGATCGAGATGCTGGACTTTTGCGCCGCACACACCACGGACTGAACCAGTACTAACCCAGGACTAACCCAGGACTAACCCAGGACTAACCCAGGACTAACCCAGGACTAACCCAGGACTAACTCAGGACTAACCTAGGACTGAATCCAGGACTGAACCAGGAGGACTAAACCAGATCTAAACCAGAATTGAACCAGGACACACTGTCAGGACGGGCTCGGAGATGAGCCTGAGTGCACCATTGGGTGACCTCAGGTGAAAGGACCGGTGCAGAGCGCTGCACAGCACAGGGATAAGAGCACCCGTCGCCCGATCGTGCTTTGCGGACACATTGCTCCGCGGGCTTGGATTTCTCTCTCTCTGTTAAATCCAAGATTAATCCTGGTGTAGACCCACCTGTTTCAGCAGCGATTTGCCCACAGGTACCCGACCCGGTGCAGGAGTCTGCTGTCAGTGCATTTACTGTCGTCTCTTTCAAACAAAAAGCACATACGTTCAAGAAATAACCATAATAGTTTAACGATAACTTAACAGAATGCTGCAGTTGTGTTAAAAAGACATTAAAATTCTATGACTTTCCCAAAACTTTCATTGAGTTTACAAAATTCTGTGACTTTTCCAGGCCTGGAAAAATGACATTTTCAATTTCTATGACTTTTCCAGAATTTCCATGACCGTGGGAACCCTGTGTTTATATTGAATTTTGGCTTTAAATTAGAAAAAATTTGTTTAAAACTCATCCCGGCTCGCTTCTGGATGATGAGAAATTAGAGCCGTTGTCATAGCGACTAACGATAAAAACAAAATATTTTATCTTCTGAATGGGGAAAAGTCCACCGTAAACAGTCCGCCGAAGCACATGAATAGAGACGACTGTGAAGCAAGCGGGAGGAAGCTGCTGTGCTGTTCCTGTGCAGACTTGTGAACACCCACGGGTGCTCCTGAGCCCTGCGCGCGTCTCCCTCTCGCTTTTCCATTAGCTCCGATTAACTTACACCCGTCCTGTCAGCCCCGCGCTCGTCTTTGCGACACCTCGACCCGCTTTTCGTCTCTCCCTGCACACACACACACACGCTCACACATACTCGTACAGTGAGAGGACCGGGAGGCTGTTGCCATGGATACGGCGGGGCGCTGACACCGGGAGAACTGTGTAGGCTTGTCGTGTCGGAAGATATAATTAATAACAAAGGATTAGCGCGGGCATAGGTAGCGAGGGGCTAGCGCGAGAGGAAGCTAATCACAGAGTGGCTATAATTGGCACCTTTTCCCACGGCGAGGGTGTGCCACGGGAGGAATACGTGGCGCTGTGAGGACATGCGGAGGGGAAATACTTTGCAGTGAAATTGCAGAAGTTTACGTGTTTGGGTCTCAAAATGTGGCACCCGCATATCTGGTAGCTTTTTGTGATTGGAGGTTTTTGTCGGTTAAACGAACCGTATGTAGCTGCCACTTTGACTGGGTTCAGGGTTCCCACGCTTTTTCACTGACAGCATTTCAAAACTTTTCCATGACTTTTTCATGACCTAAAGTGAATTTTCCATGACTTTACAGCACCTACATGCAGTGTTGGGAGTAATGCGTTATAAAAGTAACAAATTACTGTAATACGTTGCTTTTTGCTGTAACGCAGTAATGTTACAACATTACAGGGGAAAAAAAAATTAATATTTTACTTGGTACAAATGTGAGTAATGCGGTTACAATACTTTTTTAACCTGGATTGAAGTGGTGGGTTTTTCTACATACAAATTAGCTAATATCACCATGATATCAGCAGCAGTGAAACGCCCATGTAGACCGTCAGGTGACCGTGGGCGAAAGGACCGGCGCAGAACTCTTAAGACCTTTACAGTCGTCCCTCGCTCTATCATGGTTCACTTTTCACGGTCTCACAAATTTTTTGCATGTCATTTGTTTTTACAGTGTATGAACATGTATTGCGTTCCTCCCGCTGCGTCCTGATTGGCTGAGGGACTCCTGTCTCCTGTACAGTACAGAATGTGTTCAGCTGCCAAATTTAAATAAATGTTGGATCTCTAGCAGTGTGATTCTGAAGT